TGAATTCATTATAACAATATACTCAGATCACAACATAATTGAGGTTCAGACATGTATGCGTGGAGCCCCAGACCGACATAATGAGACTAGTCACGAGGGAGCATTCACCAAATTCAACTTCAATAACAAAAACATAAAGTGGGACCAAGTAAACCAAGTCCTAACCGATATAAGCTGGGAAGATATACTAAGCAACACAGACCCCAACTTATGCCTAGAACAGATTAACTCGGTGGCACTCGATGTATGCACAAGGCTTATTCCTCTAAGAAAAAGGAGGAGTAGATGTAAAATAGAAAGAGACAGGCGCTCCCTTTACAGGCGACGGAAAAGAATAACAGAGCGGCTAAAAGAGGTCAATATATCTGAAATGCGTAGGAGACACTGGTCAGAGAAATAGCAAGCATCGAACTTAAGCTAAAAGAATCCATTAGGAGTCGGGAATCGCGGGAAGAACTAAAAGCCATAAATGAAATCGAAAGAAACCCAAAGTATTTCTTCTCCTAGGGCCAAATCAAAATCGAGAACAACGTCCAGTATTGGGCCCCTACTTAAACAAGATGGGTCCTACACAGATGACAGCAAGGAAATGAGTGAGCTACTCAAGTCCCAATATGACTCATTTTTAGCAAGCCGCTAACCAGACTGAGAGTCGAAGATCAAAATGAATTTTTTATGAGAGAGCCACAAAATTTGATTAACACAAGCCTATCTGATTTATCCTTTACGCCAAATGACTTCGAACAGGCGATAGTGACATGCCCATGCACTCTGCCCCAGGCCAGACTCATGGAACTCTGTGTTCATCAAGAACTGCAAGAAGCCCCAATCACGAGCCTTCCCATCCTATGGAGAGGGAGCATAGACACGAGGGTCGCCCCCACAGTTACTAAAAACAACAGACATAGCCCCACTTCACAAAGGGGGCAGTAAAGCAACAGCAAAGACTACACCAATAGCACTAACATCCCATATCATAAAAATCTTTAAAAGGGGTCCTAAGAAGCAAGATCACCACCCCATCTAGAAACCCATCAGTTACACAACCCAGGGCAACATGGGGTTTAGAACAGGTCGCTCCTGTCTGTCTCAACTATTGGATCACTACGACAAGGTCCTAAATGCACTAGAAGACAAAAAGAATGCAGATGTAATATATACAGACTTTGCAAAAGCCTTCGACAAGTGTGACCATGGAGTAATAGCGCACAAAATGCGTGCTAAAGGAATAAAAGGAAAAGTCGGTAGATGGATCTATAATTTCCTCACTAACAGAACACAGAGAATAGTCGTCAACAGAGTAAAGTCCGAGGCAGCTACGGTGAAAAGCTCTGTTCCACAAGGCACAGTACTCGCTCCCATCTTGTTCCTCATCCTCATATCCGACATAGACAAGGATGTCAGCCACAGCACCGTGTCTTCCTTTGCAGATGACACCCGAATCTGCATGACAGTGTCTTCCATTGCAGACACTGCAAGGCTCCAGGCGGACATCAACCAAATCTTTTCTGTGGGCTGCAGAAAACAATATGAAGTTTAACGATGAGAAATTTCAATTACTCAGATATGGTAAACATGAGTAAATTATATCTTCATCAGAGTACAAAACAAATTCTGGCCACAAAATAAAGCGAAACACCAACGTCAAAGACCTGGGAGTGATCATGTCGGAGGATCTCACCTTCAAGGACCATAACATTGTATCAATCGCATCTGCTAGAGAAATGACAGGATGGATAATGAGAACCTTCAAAACTAGGGAGGCCAAGCCCATGATGACACTCTTCAGGTCACTTGTTCTATCTAGGCTGGAATATTTCTGCACACTAACAGCACCTTTCAAGGCAGGTGAAATTGCCGACCTAGAAAATGTACAGAGAACTTTCACGGCGCGCATAACGGAGATAAAACACCTCAGTTACTGGTAGCGCTTGAGGTTCCTAAACCTGTATTCCCTGGAACGCAGGAGGGAGAGATACATGATTATATACACCTGGAAAATCCTAGAGGGACTAGTACCGAACTTGCACACGAAAATCACTCACTACGAAAGCAAAAGACTTGGCAGACGATGCAACATCCCCCCAATGAAAAGCAGGGGTGTCACTAGCACGTTAAGAGACCATACAATAAGTGTCAGGGGCCCGAGACTTTTCAACTGCCTCCCAGCATACATAAGGGGGATTACCAACAGACCCCTGGCAGTCTTCAAGCTGGCACTGGACAAGCACCTAAAGTCAGTTCCTGATCAGCCGGGCTGTGGCTCGTACGTTTGTTTGCGTGCAGCCAGCAGCAACAGCCTGGTTGATCAGGATCTGATCCACCAGGAGGCCTGGTCACAGACCGGGCTGCGGGGGCGTTGACCCCCGGAACTCTCTCCAGGTAAACTCCAGGTAACCTGGGATCCATATTTCGTTGTCATAATGATCCTTTATGTTGGTCTATGTGAATGCTGCAAACAATGCATTTAATTCCATGAGCAGTCCCTTGATGTAAGTATTTTTTTTTTATGGCTTTAGACCCTGTATGTTTTCAAAGAAAAATGTCGTTATAGTGGTGGAATTTAAGGGAATTTTATTTGCTGGCTCTAATATCTGTTGTTCTGGAGTGGAGGCCAATGTCTGTGCCTCTGCTCCAGTAATGTTTTTAGTGTAGGATTATTGTCATTTGTTGCCAGTCTTTTGTCCTTCCTGTCCCTAAAAAACTTTGTCCCTTGAAGGGTTATGGTTCCCCTCAATTGTTTCCCATAGTCTGGCTGCTCTGTGTCTTCTTGTCCCCCTTAGATGATGTACCTGACAATATGCGTTGTAGCATTTTCTTTCATGGATTGATGAGTGACACATTTCTGGGTGAAATAAGTTATAGGAGAGGAAGATTCACTCTCCTGTTGCCATGTGGGTGCGGCATTTTTTTGGGTGGTCGAAGGTGCATGTCTCACCTGTTTTACCAGATATACCGTGCCTGCAGATATCCAAGCATAGGCATAGGATGGATTTCCGTTTGCTAGTATTCATTGTAGCTGCTATCGCTGCTCGTGCATTTTTTTCTGCTTCCTCCCTATCACCCCAGGTTTTGCTGGTAATGTGTCGACACTATTCCCTGAGGCATCATTCCCTTTTGTTCCATCTTCAGCAGTATTTCTATTTTGTACCTCTGTGAATCGAATAGTGTTGTCTCTACTTGTTTGGTCACCAGGGGCAATGTTTCTTGTTGGTTCACTGTCCTCCAGGACAACACTAGCACGTTCAGGAGCACTATTCTCCAAGACAGTGCTCAGTGCTCTGAACTGCTTTTTAAAACAGTTTGTGACAACCGACTAGAGGAAACAACCTGCTTGACTTGGTTCTTGCCACCAAAGAATCGCTAGTTATAAATCTTGAGGTTAATGATGAGCTTGGGGAAAGCGATTACAAATCACATAGTTTCAATATATCATGGATTTACCCAGATAACTGCAACCAAGTCTCTGTCCCAGATTTTCACTTGGCCGACTTCAAGGGATTAAGAAATTACCTGAGTGGGCTAAATGAGATGACCTGACTATGGGTCAGGTTGGTGGTGTTGGTTGTCATTATGACGTGCTTCAGTGCTAGCTCCCCAGACAACTTTTCTTCCGAGATCTAACAAAATGATCGCAAATGGATGAACAATAGATTAAAACATCTCATTGGTCAAAAGATAGGGACATATAGGGGTATCAAAAGAGGAAATGGGCAGTTAAGAAATAAATATATTCAGTTACAGAGAGATATAAAAAAAAGGAAGAAGAAAAGCTGAAAGAGATTATGGGGCCAAAGTCGCAAGGGATTCGACGACTAACCCAAAAGGGTTCTTTCAGGTATACAGAAGTAAGATTAGGGACAAGATAGGCCCACTTAAGAGTAACTAAGATCAGATCACTGACAGTGATAAGGAAACGTGTGAACTTTTCAACACTTACTTCCTCTCAGTTTTTACTGAGCGATATTCCAGAAATGATAAATTATGTAGAACAGGACGATAATAAACTATGCACGATTAGGGTAACTAGTGACATGGTCCTCAGACAAATAGAGAAATTAAAACATAAAAAAATACCCAGGCCCTGATTAACTGTTTGCGAGAGTTTTAAAGGAATGTAAAGAGGAACTTAGCATACGTTTAGCTAATATTTTCAATATATCACTACAAACTGGCATAGTGCCAGACAAGTGGAAAATGGTAAATGCAATACCTATTTACAAGGCAGGTGAGAGGTCCTTAGCTTCGAACTATAGAGTCTATAGTCTTTACCTCCATAGTCGGAAAATTTATGGGATCAATAATTGCCGACGCATTTTGTACCCATCTTGATAATCATAAATTGATTAATGACTCTCAACACGGTTTTACAAAGGGAATTTCTCTCTTACGAATTTACTAACTTTCTTCACTATGGTATTTGAGGAGGTAGATCATGGTATTGAATATGATATTATGTGTATGAATTTCAGTAAGGCTTTTGACAGAGTTTCACGTCATAGGCTGTTGAGAAAACTTAAGGCAAACGGAACAAGAGCAGAATTTTTTTCCTGGATATAGGCATGGCTGACAAATAGACAGCAGAGCGTTTGCATAAATGGGGAGAAATCAGAGTGGGGGCACGTCACAAGTGGTGTTCCACAGGGGTCAGTGATGGGCCACTTGTTGTTCACAAATTACATAAACGACATAGATAAGGGAATAAATAGCGACACAAACAAATTTGCTGATGACACCAAAATAGGCCGTCCAGTTCATTCTAATGAGGACATTAGAGCACTCCAGGATGAATTGAATAGACTGATGAAGTGGCCGGAGAAGTGGCAAATGCAGTTTAATATAAATAAATGCAAAGATCTAAATGTTGGAAAGGAAAATCACCATGCCACATATAAACTAAATATTGTAGATCTTAATATTACAGATTGCGAGAAAGATTTAGGAGTTCCGGTTAGCAGTAATCTCAAACCAAGACAACAGTACTTTGAGTGGTGACTCAC